TTATTTATTGAGGATACTGAAACCGAGAAGTTTATTTTGACTTTTCCGTTCATCTCATTTTTTCTTACGAACGCCCCCGTATTTTATTTTTGCTTAAACAATCCTTCATAATGGCAAATATTGGTGTATATTGCAAGAATATATGAATATCGATATGAATTTTTATTTTATTTATTTAGTTTTACATTTTAATACCACTCCGCTCGCGCGGAAACGCATTTCACGTCAAAATTAATTTTATATACGCTCGCAGTACCGTTTTTCAAAATGTCTTTGATATTAAATTTCATGTTTCGGTAATATCGGGATGCCTTTATGGACGTGCCATAAAACGTATAGTTTCACCGCGAGTGGGACGTTTAAAATTTCTAATAACGAGAATACAAGGGACGTGCGGAATTTTTACGGGCGGCTTTGACGTCCAGCGCCCTCTACTCCTTTGCTTTTGAAATAGTGCCGCCTGAAACCATTGCGTTCTAGAACATTGTCAAGTCTGGTTAAGAATAATTTCAAACAGGGTTTTTTCGGTTCATTAGCGACGAACAAGTAGCGGCCTTAAAGGTGAAATGATAATAATGTCTAAAAATACAGCATGAATTTCGAAAATACGAATAACAAAACTAGAGATTTGTAAAGAATAGAAACTATTTATGGATCAGCTAAATTTAACTTAAAAATATTTTGCAAGATAATCAGTGTCAATTTAATTTTGTATTTTTCTAAGTAAAATTAATAAAACTAAAATATTAAATATAAGTAATATAAAAATAATACAAACCAAGCGGGTTAAATGTGATAATATACTTAGATAAATAATAACGAGACCCTCACAAATCATGGTATAGGAATAATAATAATAATAACATCTTTTTGTGCATCTATAAACAGTATTAGCACAATATTAATCGGAAATACTTAACTAAATAAAAACAAACGACATGGCCGGAGGTATAATTGTAAGGGCAAGATACCGGCATCAGTCTAACAATAAGTAAGAAATACCAGCTAGCTAGGAAACCCAAGGCGCGAAGAAACACTTATTAAAGTACCTAATCCGGATGACCTAAGCTAGATTTCTTTAATCTTGTTTCTAAACTGATATATTTAACTTCTTATTCTGAACAGAAATATAGCCGATCCGTTGCTAAATACTGTAGCCATAGTAAGCCATTTTGCGCCACGTAAATTATAAATTAGTTGGTTAGTTAGTTAGTAAGAGATAAAGAAATATCTCATAAGCAAAGCGTAGACAGGATTTTTATACTTTTTTATACGAAATTGAGCTTTCTGAATAGTATACCTCGGGAGAAATAAAACGATCCACTATACCCATAGGAAAAATGTTTCCTTCAAGTTTCTTGGACTCTCCTAAATATTTATATTTATATTTTATTTTGTTTTATTTATAACTTGTTCTCTATTCATATCAAAAAATCAAATTCAAGCAAAAGCTTCAAAAAATGTTAAAGAAAGCAATATAGAAAAATATATTTAATGACACAAAATGATCATGATTGATTTGAGGTTCAGAAAATTGCTCTATCCGCATAGTGCCAAATAAAATTATCCACTATACGATCTGGAATCCCATAGGAGATGCGAAAAAGGTTTTCTCCAAAGATTCTTTTAATTTTGTTGATATAGGGTGTCCCAAAAGTATCCCCGACATCAACTTTATTACTTTAGAACATGACATTTTTAAAATCCCTGGTTAAAGTACAGGTCACTTTCTTAAGAAATCCCCAATCGATTTTTGTAGAGCTTCGGTAGAAATTGAGGTTATGTTGTGACCCCACTGAACCAGGTATTGCAGCGAAAATTTAACCACAGACTAAGGATGCACTAGTCAATCAGTTTGACAGATGCGCCTCAGTTTATACAGGATATCCCAAATAGGTGGTGCCGTTTTGGCGAATTCATCAACAAAATTTTTATTCAGATATCAATTCTAGAACAAAAAATAAGGTAAGTTTGTAGTTTATCTTATATTTAAATTTTACTTTTTCAGATATTCGATGTTTAAGATAACACGTATAAATTCTTGTTGAATTTAAACTTGCTCACATTTTAAATAGCAAAGACATGATATTACTTCTTTTAAAGGTATAATACTCCAGATATACGAATAAAACCTATTGCTAACAATTCAGGGTATCCATTAATACTTGGAAATTAAAAAAAAATCGACTCTATACTACATACTTTAACAGATTTAATAAAACTTCAGAATTCATATTTATACAAATATTTAAAAATTAATTATTTAGCTTGATTAAAAAGTGCCTAATAACAAAAATAAATAATTAAACTAATAACTAATAAATAAATAACTAAACAAGGTAACAAATTTGAATAAATAAATTTATGAAACAAAAAAAAAAGAAACAAATAATTAAAAAAAAAACTAAATATGGTGACACCGTAATATATTTTCAATATATTCTGTGCTGGAGACCGCATTTCCGCCAACAATTCTATCTCTTATAATGCCGCACCACATTTTAACACTCCGATGGCCCTGCTTATTAATTTCTCTCCTTAAAAACTTATTCTCTGTTGAATAATTGTGGCAAGAAAACTTTTTTCCCATCTCCTATGGGATTCCAGATCGTATAGTGGATAATTTTATTTGGCACACGGTGTTCATTGTCCGTATAATATATCTCAATATTTGAAATTGTTAAGAAACGAAGAATCCTAAAGAGGAAGTTTATGTTTTGTGGTAAGGTTGTGCCTATGCGGATAGAGCAATTTTCTGAACCTCAAATCAATCATGATCATTTTGTGTCATTAAATATATTTCTCTATATTTAAAAATTTTTAAATCTTTTGCTCGCATTTAATTTTGATATGAATAGAGGACAATAATGGAGAAGTAATCAAACTCATTCTCTTATTCTACGAACGTTGATCAGTGATCAGTACACTAGAGAAAATTACAAATACTTTAGAATAGCAAGAAGTAAATCATGGTTAATGGTATCAAATGCTTTTGACAAATCGAATAAGACCTTTCAGATATCAAATGAGTCAGGCAGCTATAACTTGGCCTAATTCGTGAGTAGGCGTTAGTAACCCCTATTCCCCAAGATGTTTTGTAATCTGATTGACCCACGAATTTACACATAATTTTAGAGGGGTGCCTAAGAATACTTATTGGTCTTCATTGATACTTTGCATATTTTCTTCATATGGTGAGGATTCATCTTCCAGACAGTTGTATGTGTGCAGGTATTTATAATATTCACTAAATATGGAAGAATATAAGCAGTTCAAGACTTATTTCATTTATATTTGCAAATAAAATTTTCGAGGTAATTTTTTTCCTAAAATGTCGAGATTGCTGATCTTAATGCGCCATTTACAAAATGGCCCTCTTCGATGGAGCTGCGGGTTCGAATTATAACGTAATTAAAAATTCAAAAAGGCGGCGCCCCTCCAAAAGCCCATAAATTCGGAGAGGTCGTAAACGAAGTTTACGCCGTTATATTACGAAAGTCGTAAATAAAAGAAACATAAAATCTGCGGAACAGGAAACTATATAGGGGTGCCATTAAATATTTAAACCATTGTTGGTACACTCCTAGAACGAGACGTAATAATTTGAAAGGAAACAATTCGTATAGTGCGGCAAGCGATCTTTATTACTCCGAAAACGTAACAAACGAAAAGATGAAATTAACAATGTGAACATTATAAATAATAAATGTTCATTACGAAGACGCGTCCGTGTTTTGTATGCCTTACTATTCCAACCAACTACAAATCTGTGAACGATTCGATTTATCTAAATGATATCCAAATGAATGAAATTCAAACTCTGTATTTCCGAAACCAAGCTACATTTGTATGGAGCATGTTGAGCTCAGACATAATATTTAGTATTTCCAGTTAGAGATTGTTCATTTTATATGAATCATCCTGTATTTAAAAACTCTTTTCTGCCAAATGTGTATGTGTATATTATATTTTCAAACAAACCAATTAATACGCCAAATAAAAAAAAGTAACCAGAAAATTTCATTCTACTTATTAACTTTGCATGAAATTTGACGATTTGTCTGAAATCGAGTGATTAAGATAAATTTAATGGAAAATGCTTTATTAAAGTATACAGTCTAGTCCATCTTAGTAGTTTGATTTCTATTTTCGGTAAATCGTTTTATTTATTATTTTGGATGCTCAAGCGATCCCCCCTATAAAATTTGCCAAAATATTCTCCTTACGGCAAAATAAAAACACCTAAAAATGTTTCAAGAATAATTCCTAGAAGTACTCACAAAAGTAAAATTCTCCTTAGTGGCCCATAAGAAAAAAAAAAACTCCCCCTGGCGGCGCACTTTTATCCTTTCGCGCGGACCAGGGCAGAAATAATATATTACTTTGTTATGTTAGTTTTAATGGAGTTTCTTTTAATGCCCGGAATATCCGGCTCGATCCGGGAACCGGATTTACTGCCACGGAATATAGAAAGTTTGCATTCGCCGAAATTCCGCAGTTATAAAACGGCTATTTAAGTTTCGAGCTCGTTTGGTTTTTGCGCAGTTAGATTTTCGTCGTCTGTTGGTTTTTCGCTTTCAAACCCGCCCCCGCGAGAGCAAATAAGGGATGCTTCCGATGTGTCCTAGAGAAACAAAATGTCGAATAAAACGTCACTCAGTATAAATAAACGCCCAAATCAGTTCTCGTTAACATTTGCGAAACAAGAACGACTCGCCTCCTCACTATTTTCAGGTGGGCGGAGGTAAACGTATTTATATTTTCACATTATAGCTGAAAACGCGAAACATTTGATTTTCTGGTTTCGTGGTATATTGTTTATTTACAACTTTTCTATCATATTATTTGCAAAACATATATATATATATATATATATATATATATATATATATATATATATATATATATATATATATATATATATATATATATATATATATATATATATATATATATATATATATATATATATTGTTATGCTCTAAATTTACCCCAAATCAGAAAATTGCTTTTAGTTAAATACCTAGGTTTAATCCAGTAGTATTAACATAATTTTAACATGTACAAATAATAGGCATATATACAAATATAAAAGGGATAGTAATTAGTTTCCTCTCCTCTATATTATAGCTCACGTCTCGTCTTTACTTCTCGTCCTTCTAAACACGAATGGTGCATGCGCCAGTACAACACTAAAAAGAAAGAATAGAAAACACGTTCATAAATCAGTTTTAGGCATTCTATGGGTATTCAACTAGTGTACAATTTTTGCACCTTGCACTTACCTCAAATTCAGTCAGGTGTTCATAACAATTGGTTGTGTCAAATTTCACCGGCGTCATCGAGGTTTCCAATCCAAATTGCGGACATATTTAACATTACGTTTGGAAGCAAATTTAAATTACTACTTGCGTTGCCTTGTCCCGCAATTACTGTTCGTACTTTTAAAATAGGGTAGCGATCGGAATCCCAATTTAATTCTTACTTATCTCAGCTACAATGTAAACAAACCCAATTAAGGTTAGAACTTTCAAAGTCAAAGCACTCTCGCGTAAAGTAAAGGAAAGCAACTTACCTATGTTGTCATGCTGCGTTGGATTGATGCACTTGATTCACGAAAATATTTTAATCGATCGCAGGCCAAATGTCAATCAATAACCAGAGATGCAACCGTCTGTCTTCGCCAGGGAATATCGAATCGGTTGGTTGCTTTTCCTCGACCAATGAAATCTTTTTGTGTTTTTTTTTTGTTATTTTCAATATTAAAAGAACAAGCTCGTATCGGGCTCTTTTTGATCTAGAACGCTAACGCGGATATAACCCATCGAAGTTTCGCACCCATATTTTAAGGTTGATTCGCTTGATATCACGTTTTGTGGGCATTATAAATAGCTCTATCAAAATAACAAGTACTAGTTGGTTCGGACAGCCAGCGACAGGCATTTCTTTTGTCAATACCTCCAAGAAGGTCGCCCAAGGTAAAAGGTGAAGTTCGTGTCTCGACGACCTTTGAAACTAAGGACCGTCCACCGGACGTTTTCACGGATTCTGATAAAGAAGAAGCTTTAATAACAGAGGAGGTTTTGTGATTTTAAGGATTTTGCGGTTTCAAATCGAATTGATCGATCGAAATGATTTCTTCATTTGGGTAATACGTCTGGTAAGGACCAAGTTGGAAACTTTTGCAAGAACTGATTTTTCCGTGTCAGAAAGTTGGTGCTATGATACATTTATCACAGTGTGCGGGAATTGAGAAGAGTTTGATGGTATCGCTAGTGTTGACGTCAGTTTATGAAGATTTTCAGATTGAAGGGGTATCCAACTCGGACGGGAACAAGCAAATTCAAGATGTAGAAACAAAAGAATCTTATTGATTTGATATATCTATTTACAGGTCTGATGAATTATTTCTCGAAGTTAAGCAGACCTAGATTTACGGAGAATTTCATAAGCGGATGATGTTTTGACATGATGGGATATTTTAAGAAAATTAGGGATAACGTTATGGTCTCTACAACATAACAAAAAGGTCCGTGTACAAAGTAATCTTACCAGTTTCAGTCGGTAAACTTTCTGCCTTTGCCCTTGATGTCCTCTCTATAAAGGCTGGTTAATTTTCCAAAGAAACGTCCACAGGATACTGTAATACTATTTACAAAATTACAATCTTCCTGTTTACTTCTTCAAAGCTTCATTGAAACTGAAACAACGGACGCAGGATGAATCCTGAAGTTTTGTAAATAGTATTATAGTAGCCTGTGGATGTTTCTTTGGAAAATTAACTATTTTATTAGATTAGGTTAAGCAATCAAACAAATTTTTTTTACTATATTAAAATAATGGGAATAAAGCTATATAACAAGATGTTTGATTTAAGAGCATCAGTTGATTAATTATTTTCGGCTAAATCGCAACCAACCAAAATATACATCACAAAATTGATCCCTCGCCCTGATTTATGACGTAATCCATCAGATGTATATATATTCGGCCGATGTAATATATTGGGCGGCGACCAAATTTGCAATTTAATGGAGGAAACAATCAAACATAACATACAAATTTTTACGTGTTCGTTTAATTTAATCTTTTAATTGAAATTCGTATTTAGCAAAAACGTGACTGGAAACCTCAAACTCGGAAGCGAGGAAAGTACCTTGGAGGGAAAAAACTTAAAAGATGAACAAAATTAATTATGGAAAACTGCGGAAGTAGTTTTGTTTATGAACTCGGAAAGAATTCAGTTTAAACCTTAAAAGCGGCGAGGTGGGAGGTCGAGGGGGTGGCAGCGGAAAGAAATATTAATTTTTTCAATTATCAAACTCGGGCTCCGGCATTTTTCGTTGCGAATAATAATATTAAAACTGACGTTGCAATTTCCAGTCCGTTCGTTTTTTTAAATGGGTTAATATTTTTAAAAGGTTTTCGCTATAGATTGGTCTTATATCCGACGAGTTCTGTTCTCATATATAAATAACAAACATTCGACTGACCTGGTCTTCGTTCCAGCGACAAATAAAATCGGGAACCAATGAACAGAGCCCTTTCGAGAAATAACTCGAACATTCCACACTTCTCCCGAGAGGGCGCTGCGACCAATAAAAGCGAAATACGGTTAGACCGAAATCATAGTAGGGCAAATCATAAATGGTCGACGGATATAAATAATAGATGTTTTATGAATTATTAGTAAGTGTGTGGATAGCGCATGTGTTAGTATTGGAAATACTAACGTGTACGCTGTTCGCTTTGAAGCAAATTACCACCCTGATAATCTTCACGTTCAGGAAATAACAAGAATAATGTTAAGAATGTGTTGAAGAATGTTGTAAAATTACGAAATATATAATTTCTATCTCTCTATTATTCTGAGGAATTCTGAGATAAAAGAGTGTTCAGGTCACGAACATGCTTTATGTGAAAGTTACAGTGAAGCCCTGGATCTAGATGGACACCCACAAACTTGACAGATGTCTCTGAGCTGTACATGAATTTATTGTGTCGTTAGCAACGTGGAGTGAAGGTCAGCAAGGGGTAGGTCATTTATGTGTATCAGAAAAAGTACAAGCCCCAGGACTGAACCTCGCGGAATGAGTGTATTCACATGATTTTAATTGATTGAGTCCGTTCTCCATATTCCAAATGGTTTTAAGAAGAAAATTTATCACTATATTTTTTTAAACAAATAATAAAATTTCGAAAAGTTGCTATAGGCTTACGATCTTGAGAAATTCAATTTTCAAGACATTATATATAAAATTATATAAAATGGTAATAGATTCCACTCATAACTCTTTGATCGTTTCTAACGTGAACAAAAAACAACACAGAACAGAAAAAAATATCGCAAAGGAAGATGTTAGTAACTTAATGACTTTTCCGGTGTTACAAATGGCGTGGACAGACAACTTTGAAACATTTTACAGAGAAAAATGACGCGGCACATTCCCTCACCTAATACGCAAGCACGAACGCTATCGCGTTGAAACGGTTTTTTCTGTCGGCCATGAAAATCGATTTAATTTTATCGTCGGGGCAGGTGCTCGTCAGAAAATTTATCAGCACGATGTCAATACGTCTACGCTCTTCCCCCCTGTAAGTGAAAATCCCAAATGCGGGACGGCGGTAGCTTATATTTCAATGAGTATGGAAATCGAGGTTAGGTCCCCCGGGGGTAGGATATATGCTCCGGAAACAGGTAAAATTGAGAAAAATGAAGCCTGCGAACATAATGGGGCAGGACGTGGGGTTAACGATATGTTTAAAACCGTTCGCCCGTCGACGCGAATTTTTTGAAACCCGCACGGTATAACTAATGAGGGCGTATTGTTATAAGGGTTCCTTTGTTTCTATGGGAAAAAATAAAATTAAGATTACAGTTTTTTTAAATAGCATCCTCCGTATAAACACACACACATTTTAGATATTTTTTTTTATTTTTATCACGATTCCGATGATTTACATTGTACGAGAAAAAATTAAATTATTCCTATCAACTATGTTTAAGATACTCTGTGGTAAAATCCAGCTTTGGGATGTCAGTGAAAACTTCCCTGCATGTTGTTGTGAGAGTTACTTGTCATTTATCCACTGTAAAAGGAGAAGAGGAAACGTTAAAAAGAACCTAACCTAACATGAGAGAGAGTGTTAATTTAAAATCAGTGTATTCATTATTAATAAAGTTATTTTAGTTTAATACATCGGTGTGTTTATAAATTCACAATACATGTAAGTTGTTTAGTTAGCAACCAATTAATGGTTATAAATTATTGCGTTTAATTTCTTGGTCTCTTTTTAATCTTGAAATATGTAAGAATGAAGATTACCGCTTCATAATTTTTCAAAGAAACTTCTACTGTTGTACTGCTATTTACACTTTACAAAGATTAACACTTTTTCAAAAATCTCTCAACTTCTTTGATCCTTCAAAAGCAAAATTTCGTTTGAGAAACCAAGGGTTTACAGCATTCCATGCATATGAGGCAAGAACGCATTGGAGAGACCGGACGAAAATTATCAACTGGGCTCAAAGAACATTAAAGAGCCCTAAGACTAAGACAAACTCATCAGCAGTGGCCGAACACAATCACGAAAACTAAAATTATTACATATACAAATTTTTAAAAAGTTAAATAACTTTGAAATATCCAATTGATTGTTAAGCAAGAGAAATAGACAGATGGAGATAATAACGTTCAAAATTTGTTATAAGAAAAATGGTTTGAGAATGACTTCCGCTTATTAAAGTTGAAAATCAAATTAAAACTTATTCCCTGGTCCAACATTGACCTTTAAAGACGACCTTTAAATTTAAGCCGCAGATCCCTTTGAAGCCGTTCTTTCACCCCTTTGTACCGAAATTCCTTGAGTCTCACCAATTATATAAAGACTCGTGATTAATTACAGTGAAGAAAACCGCTCGTCGACTTAAACCCTTCTAAAAGTGGTTCTTTTATGTCCGACCAGGGACGGATTTGTTTTAAAAATTTGTGAGGTGTGTCCCTTAGTGACTTACTTTTTATGGCACGTTAATGAACTACAAAAAAGTAGATAGGCTATTTGCTTAATTTAATTAGTTTTAGTTAGCTCGGTTCTATTATTTCATGATTTGGTACCTTTAAGGTGGCACAAAATGAAATATGACCAGTTCAATTTCAAATGTGCCAGATTTTCGAAAATGTTCCCTTTTTTTCCCAGAATTTTAGGTTAGACTTTGCGTGTGTTAATCGAACTTGGGAATTCAGGCTCGGTACGGGTCTGGCCGGCGGGTGCGCGCGGGAAACTAAAATTACTATCAATCGGTTTTTGTTTGTTAGGGATATCCGTTTCGAGGCGAATTATTTCTATACCCGAAATAGTTTTCAATCAGACATTGTTACCCGGCGTTTTCAGTAGGGTCCTACAGTTGCGAACTGACGTGTAGAAAACTGCTTGCCTACAGTTTTTTTTTATTTCGTACAATTCGCAACTTTATATTCCGTAATTAATGATTAATATAAAATTAATAACTTTCATGTATTAATTAATTAATATAACGAGTATCTATTCACAATTTCGCTTTTACTGTCGTAGTTCTTCCCAAGTCCATCCATTTACTTAAATAAGTGTTCAAAAAACTTTTTCCAATATTGTTCAAAACTAGAAGTTTTTAATAAAAAAATA